CTCAAGCAGAGCCTGGTGGTGGCGGTGCAGGACCACGGCCAGCCCCCTCTCTCGGCCACCGTCACGCTCACCGTGGCCGTGGCCGACAACATCCCGGATGTCCTGGCGGACCTGGGCAGTCTCGAGCCCGCAGCGGACCCTGATGCCTCAGGCCTCACGCGGTATCTGGTGGTGGCGGTGGCGGCAGTCTCGTGCATCTTCCTGGCCTTTGTCATCGTGCTGCTGGCGCTCAGGCTGAGGCGCTGGCACGCGTCACGTCTGCTCCAGGCTTCCGGAGGCGGGCTGGTGGGCGTGCCGGCCTCGCGCTTTGTGGGCGTGGACGGGGTGCGGGCTTTCCTGCAGACCTATTCCCACGAGGTCTCCCTGACCGCGGACTCGCGAAAGAGTCACGTGATCTTCCCCCAGCCCAACTACGCGGACACGCTCATCAGCCAGGAGAGCTGTGGGAAAAGCGAGCCTCTTCTGATATATGAGAAGATAAATATAAATGAAGAACGAGGAGTTGTTCAGGTGAGATTTCTTTTTCAGTATGGTTGCTTGTAGCATTTTTCATTTGTTTCCTTAATCATTTCTCTACCACATTCAAAATTGGTTAATCATGTAAATACTGAATCATTTTATGTTTCATTTAGAGATTAACTTGATTTAATTGGATGATGCTGTCTCCATTTGTTCTCAAGTTATATTTTGTGTTTAATGTCTTCTTTTTTCAATACGTGAAATTTTTAGACAATCTAGCTGATATCCATAGGCTTAAAAGAAAGTAGTTAAACATAATCACTTTACCCAAAGACTATCTTATACTAGAACTGTTACTATGTTAATGGAAGAGTTGTTTGATTAGTCCAAGTTGTTTGAGATATAATGTTCTATTTTGGATATTTGTGTAAACACCAATGGTGAATATGTTTTGGAAAGGATGGTATGCAGCACTGATATTTTAGTATACCTGCTGTTTGCATAAGGAAATAATTTACAGTATTTTAATGAATCAGTGGAAGAATATAGAAAACTTCTACATGATAAAAATCAGAAAAACAGATTAAATTTATAGTCTGTGACATTTTCAAGTCTGGGAACTTTGGGCTAACCTATGTAATTACTAGACATGCGTATATGTGGAGATAAGAAATCAGTGTTCTTTATTTGGGGCACCAAGGTGGCTCAGTCAATTAAGTGTGGGACTCTTGATTTGGGCTCAGGTCATGGTCCTTGGGGTCGTGGGATGGAGTCCCGCATGGGTCTCCTGGCTCAGCGGGGAGTCTGCTTGAGATTTCTGTCCCTATCCCTCTGCCCCTCACATCCCCACCCCCACAAGCTCTCTCTCTCTAAAAATAAATAAATAAATCTTAAAAAACTGTACTTCATTCTGATGCAGTTTAAAATCTCCAAAAAATTAGATTCTGCTACATTCATTAAATACAAATATGCCCTACACCTGGCACTTCTGGTTGCAGATAACTTCTTCACTTTTCAGAATCAGTATCTATTTGAATGTTTGCACCTATGCATGTGTTGGTACAATTCTGCTTTATTACTACAGTTTAAGATTTGTACTTGGAAAATCAACATAAAAATTGTTTGAAATTTTAAAATTCATTTCTCAGGGATATGCTCTTCTTAAATTAATAATTTTTCATAATGAAATGCAGGTCTATGGGTCTCAAATTCTTGAGTGTGTGTTGTGTAATGGAAGAACTGCCCTCTTTGTTTTTCGCATCTGATTTACTAAAGATGATTTCAGATGCTTCTCCTTAAGATTTTCAATCTTTCAAATATTGTACTTTCAACAACTTCATCAGCTGCAAAGTATGACTAACTGGGAGAAATAGCAATAAAATACTATGATGGGATGGTAGGCTACATTACCTGACCAAACAAATGGTTTATTGTTACATGTGGGAACCTATGAGCACTTGGTTTTTGTTTTTTAAATAATTACTTCAAGGGAATCCAATATTTGTATATTGAAGGGGATCCAAGTATATTTATATACAGATAATTCTGATTACAGTTTAAATTGTGCAGATTCACTGAATAGTGAATGCATCCAAAGAGTAATGAGAATCTGTATGATGGAGACTGATAACATTCCCTCCTACTTGAAAACTCACTTTTCCATTATATTTTATAACAAATATCATTTTTTCATTACATTTTAAAGAAAAGGTTATACATTTTGGATATAATTCCCAAGTTAATTTTTTCATGCAATGGAAAATATCTCTTAAACCTCTATAAACTTCAATAGACTTTATGTAATAAAATGCTTGATATGACACTCTGAGTGTATATACTATATATACTGTATAATCGTTTAAATATTTGAATCTTTAGTTTCATATGTGCTCTGAAAAGATAACTCTCCTGTACTAATTTAAGTGTTCACGCCATGTTGGAAAAGCACTTGTTCAGTCATGTGCTGGAGAGAAGTCTTAAGTCTATGTTTTTTATGTTTGTATGAAGTAGAGATGTCAGTGAGTTTCTTTCTAGAATCCTAAATACAATGAGTAGTTTAAGATGTCTAATATTATTACACTATGGGTTCAACATTGCTACACACCTGCTAAGTTTTAGAATCACAATGTATTGTATAGGTTAAAAAAAGTTTCTTTATGAAGATTTCTAGTTTGGAAATGGAATTAAAACTTTAAGTCACTGGGACACCTGGGTGGCTCAGTTGGTTAAGCATCTGCCTTCAGCTCTGGTCATGATCCCAGGTCCTGCATGCTTCTCCCTCTGCCTACTGCCCCCCTGTTTGTGCACTCTGTGTCTCTCTCTCACAAATAAATAAAATCTTTAAAAAAAGCCCGTAAGACACCTATCAGAAACATGAAAATTGACATGGGAAGAATGTCAGTAACAAAGGGGTGATGATCTGTTAGTAACCTGGGGACAACATAGATTACTTTCTTTAGAATATATAATTATAAGGACTCATACTTCATCCCCAAAATTCAAATAACTCACCATTGCTAAGTGGCTTGAGAAGAAACAGTACAGTTAAAGACAGTGGCAATGTAGTGTGGAAAAAATAAGATCAGTGTAATAGTTTTTAAATCATGGTCATTTAAAAGTAGACACTTGGAAACTAAGGAAAAGAGAGTTTCTTGCTTCTTACTGTACTTCTTTTTTTAGAAAGACAACCAATCTCTTTGCTTACTTATCTATTTTGGGGGTAAAGTGATAATGATAATATAGAAGGAAGTTAAACACAGGATACAACTAAAAGCTACGAGATTTGTAATGTTTACAAGTTAGAAGAAAATAAACAGTGGAATAACTATATATACCAAGCTGATATTTCAAGAATTTTCATATTACACTTTCTGCCATCACCACCACCACCTTCATTTGTGTCATTTTCTACATATCATTTCATTTGGTCTTCAGTTTTACTAAGGAACACAGGGAAGAAAATATTATGACCATTTTATGAAAATGGAAATGAAAACCACTACGATGCCAATAAACATCTTCAAGCAAGTTACCTCTGCTCTTTGAAGAGTAAAAATCACTTGATATAGATGGATAAAGTTCAAGTTCAAATAAAATGACCGCCAGATCGACGATACAGTGAATATTTAAAATGTTAAAATCCTTGTAAAATCGGAAGAATAAGTATCTGTTTTCAGGACACAGTAGAATTTTCTTTTAACCCGCTCCTTATTTGGAGCTCATTTAGTAACCACTACTGCAGTTTTGCAGCCGAGACGCGGGGTGCCGCTGTTGGCTAGTACTGAGCGTAGTATCAGCTTCTCCCGACGCAAAGGAATCGCCCCCCACCGCGGAACCGCGGTAACTGGGCACTCTTTCTCCGGTTCTTTCTGCCGCCGAGATATCTGTCAGAGAATCTGCCTGCCAAGACAAATCAAGGAGTTGCTCCTGCTCAGAGAATTTTTGGGATTATTTAGCGATCGTAGCTCTTCGGAATCAGAAAGACAAAGTCGCAGAAAGCGGGATGGGAGACCGTTTGGGACAGAAGGGCCCGGCTGGGCGGAGACGACTGCCCTTTCTCTTTTTGCTGTCTTTGTTCAGCCCGGTGCTCCCGGAGCAGATCCGCTACACTATTCCTGAGGAGCTGGCCATGGGCTCACTGGTGGGGAACCTCGCCAAGGATCTGGGGCTTGGCGTGCGAGATTTGCCTACCCGAAACCTGCGGATTAGTGCACAGAAGAAATTCTTTACAGTGAGTACTGAGAACGGGGACTTACTTGTGAGCGACCGTATAGACCGAGAGCAGATTTGTGGCAAGAAGTCAACGTGTGTCCTAGAATTGGAAATGGTCTCTGAAAAGCCTTTGAACTTCTTTCATATAAGTGTGGTAATTCAGGATGTCAATGACAACCCACCGACCTTTAGCCGAAATATCACTGAACTGGAAATCAGTGAACTGGCCCTAACTGGAGCCACTTTTTCCCTGGAATCCGCACAAGATTCAGATGTAGGTGTCAATTCCCTGCAGCAGTACTACCTCAACCCAAACCCGCACTTCTCTTTGATTCAGAAGGAGAACCCAGATGGCAGTAGGTACCCAGAACTGGTAGTGAAGACTCCCCTGGACAGGGAAGAGCAGTCTTACCACCACCTGGTCCTCACCGCTGTGGATGGGGGGGACCCATCTAGAAGCTGCACTACCCAGATAAGGGTGGTTGTGGCAGATGCAAATGATAACCCACCAGTGTTCACCCAGGATGTGTACAGGGCCAGTGTTCGAGAGAACCTGCCCGTGGGCTCCTCTGTACTAAGTGTGATGGCCACTGACTTGGACGAGGGGGTCAATGCTGAGATCACATATGCTTTCATCAACATTGGCAATGTAGTGAGACAGCTGTTCAAGCTGGACAGTAAAACAGGGGAACTCACCACTGGTGGAGAACTGGACTTTGAAGAGAGAGAGAGCTACACAATTGGGGTGGAAGCAAAGGATGGTGGACGACACACTGCGCACTGTAAAATACAAATAGATATTTTGGATGAAAATGACAATGCCCCTGAGGTAACCCTGGATTCTGAATCTAAACATATTCAAGAAGATGCTGAGCTGGGGACTGTTGTTGCCCTGATCAAAACACATGACTTAGATTCTGGATTTAATGGGGAAGTTTTCTGCCAACTAAAAGGAAAGTTCCCGTTTAAAATAGTTCAAGATACAAAAAATACATACAAGTTGGTCACAGATGGAGCCCTAGATCGAGAACAGACTCCAGAATACAACATCACCATCACAGTCACAGATAGGGGAAAGCCGCCTCTGTCCTCCAACAGAAGTGTCACCTTGAACATCATCGATGTCAACGACAACGCGCCAGTTTTTGAACAGGCTTTCTATTTGATCCACGTGGCTGAGAACAATCCTCCAGGCGCCTCTATTGCCCAAGTCAGCGCCTCGGACCCGGATCTGGGACCCAATAGCTGCGTCTCCTACTCCATCGTGGCAAGCGACCTGGAGCCACGCGCGCTGGCGTCCTACGTGTCCGTGAGCGCGCAGAGCGGGGTGGTGTTCGCGCAGCGCGCCTTCGACCACGAGCAGCT